CGGCACACCTCGTGTGCCTGCTGTCAACTTGCAGTTGTTCATTTTCTCGGTGGGAGCATTGGTCGCTTGATCGGTGGGAATCCTGTCTCTTGTCCCATTTGGCCCGATGCCGTGGTTTAGGGCTCTAGGGTGCTACAGAAATTAACGGCTGAGCAATTTTAGCAAGAGCCGTCTTGTTGGTCATATTTTCGGCTTTAACCCTCAAGGCATCATCTTCCACTTTACAGTATTCTTCAACTTTCTTCATCAACGACCAAACTATTTTGGGGGGTCGTCTGGTCAAGGAGCTGCAGAGGGCACTGTCGGGATGCAGCCCCATCTTGAAGGCGGTGATGGCCATGGAGTCATTGCAAGCATCATCTACCAGATTGAAACATTCCCAATACCGGGCCGAGTAGGCACGAAGGGTTTCCCCCGGTTGAATCTGTATTGCCCAAAGGGAATCGACTTGCTTTGGCCGGACCTCATTAGTGATAAACCTTGCCCTGAAGGATTTTTGAAGTTGGTGGAAGCTTTTAATCGAAGCCGGCTTCAGTTTATAATACCACCTGACAGCTAGTGGTCCCAAGCTGCTTGGAAATATTCTACACATCAAAGCCTCATCATCTGCATGCAGCATCATGGCTTGCTTGTAATGGCGGATATGATCGGTGGGGTCAGATTTACCGTCGTACAAGGTGAATGACGGTGCTTTGAATTTCTTGGGTAACACTGCCTTTGCAATCCGTCGTACGAAGGGATCATGCCGGTCTTCTTCATCTGAGTTGTTTCGTCTGCGCTTATGCCTTATACATGGACTCTCTTCAGAGGAACTAGAAGTTTCATATCGTCCCTTCTTCTTGGGCTCCGAGGATAATGAGTCAGAGTCGCTATCAGTGTCTTGTTGTCGGGCTCGAGATCGTCGACCTCCTGCCCTCACAGGTCGTTCTGGATCTTGGCGTATAGCTTGTTTAGACTTCTCCAGCTCCAAGGCCAAATCCTAACGGAGACGTTCGTTTACAGCGATCATATTCTCCAACCTTTGTTCGTTTTGCTTTTCTTGTTCCATGATCGCTTGGATTGCCTCATGTTCCGATGTCGAGGGTGAGGCGAAGTTCAAAGAACGTCTTACGGGGATAGTCTCCGGTCCAAGCATGTTTGTTGGAGTGAGGTCGTCTCTCTACGTGGTTTTATCAGTGACTATCGGAGGGTCTTCCATTACGCCCGCCATGGATGTGTTTGAGTATTCCCACAGACGGCGCCAATTGTGGAGAAGTGGTTTGGAAATACTATTCTGATCCTAGGGGACGCTCGTGATCCTCAGCTAGCCACCTGAAAAAGAATCAACACTCCGGTCGGGGGTGCCGGAATTAGCACTCCGACGGGCAAGTCAGTCTCTACTCTCTCAATTACTTGTATTTTAAGTAAAGTGTAATAGTTCTCACATACCTTTCTCTAATGGGTGATCCCGTATTTATAGTATTCTCTTTGGGCCTTTAGGCTGGGCCCATCCTTGATCCTCTCCTTTTTGATAGTATCATTGAGATTTTTTTTTTTTTTTGGTGCTATTTCCCAATTTTCAAAATGTATAAAATGAACACTAGAATATGGTAAATATTGGCCCTTGGGTGGGAAAGTAAATGCATATGGCATGTAGAGGATTATGGTTGAAAAATTCATATCTAATTCATGTAGAACTATGTTTTCCGTTTTCTTTTCTTATTTTTTAGTGTTATTTTTGATATGTCGACAGAAGGAATAATATGATTTTGTCCAAAATTTTGTTGTTGCAATGAAATTTTTTTTTTTATTTGTGTGTTGCTGCACATAAAAAATAAAAATCAATTTATATTGTAATTATTTTATAATTATCCCACTACATTATAATTTTCACAATTATTAATTGCTCTAATTTTAAATTCCCACGTAATGGAAAGCCCAAACCACAATCAAAGACCCCTCAAAAAATAATTCAACTAGTTACCAAGCAATAGAAAAAAGAGGTTGATGTTTAATTATTAATTGGACAAATCTATATTGCAGTTAACTAAATTATTCATTGAAAATGATGTGATAGATAAATTTGATTATATAAGCTTAGTTAGTAATTTTGTTGTTAAAAATGTAAGAAACGTAATATTTAAGTGACATTTTGTTGTATTTAGATTAATTTGGATTGATTAATGGCTTTATTTTTCATTTGGTTTTTTTTTCTTCCCTTTATTGTATATTGAGTCTTGCTAAGCCATGAAATAACAAAATCAAATTATGTTATTTTATTTTCATCTTTTTGAGCTCTTATAATGATTTGCTAAGATCTTAATCTATGTAAGCAAATTTTGGTAATCTTATTCAAACAATCTTTGTGTGGGTAATAATTAATTAATTAATTAATTAATTGTGGATAATTCCAATTACATTGGCTTAGCACCCATAAATGTTCAAAGCAGGTCCTGTTGAATAATCCAAAATTTTGACATTGCAGTCAAGAAGATTAAAATTTGCAAAGCTAAAAAGGTTGGATTGTGCATCACCCCAAGCATAAACAATAGCATTTGAGTCTTAATAAAAGTTTTGCAAAGCACATGCAATTATATATATATATATAGAAGGACAAGGGTGGTCAGTTTTACATTATTAATCCATGCCAAAATGAAATTTTAAAAATATCAAATTTGTGTTCTCCTTCTAGGAACCTCCAGGGCCCCCATATAGTACCAAATGCCCAAAGTGAGCCCCCTGGTATCCTTCATCTTTCACTTCATATAGTTTTCTACTGTTTGTAAACTCGTATGTTTGAGGATTTATATCCCCTCCACTTGGACTCTTAAGTGCAATATTCATGAAGAATGCATCATATCTGGTGTCCTCAATTAGAAAATAACCTCCCCCCATTGCAGGTTTCTGGGTGCCCGGTGGACTAAATATGTAACGCCCTCAAAATAACAACATTAACCCATCAGATAAGACATGCACTTACATACAACCCAACCACATTCTTTTATTCATTAGAGTTCTATATACATATGTATTACATGTTAACATCAAAACAAAATGCCCTACGGGCTTACAGCTTTCCAAGTTAACACTTGGTTACAACAAAAGAGTACTAACTCGTTTACACATTAAGCCCTTGGCTTGAAGTTACATGTAATACATCAAAAGTAAAACAACTACACTATGTCCGCCTCTAGCCTCCCAAGCTATGTCCTTGGAGGTGGCATGCTACCTGTACCTGAAAATGATATTCCCATATAGGGTGAGCCACAGCCCAGTAGAAATACACTAAACCCCATGAACAATGACTAAAATAATAGCAATTGATAGATGGCCAACACTGATACAATCACAATAATCACATATTTATGTCATACGACTTATGAGTCCAAGTTTCCTTTCATTTTCCCTTTTTCAACAGATAAGCATGCTAGCTCTATCATCATTTCCACAGATATGTATAAAAACTATATCCCACATTCAGATAAGCATATAAGCTATATCCACACTTTACCAAGATAAGCATATAAGCTCTATCTTCACTTCTCTAGACAAGCATATGAGCTGTATCTACGGAGTTCATCCCCTATCTTCTCCCAACACTATCTGGTTTAGAGGTACATCCCCTAATCTTCCCCTAGACCGCGGAGTACATCCCTATCTCCTCCTCTACACATAACGTATACAAACACAATGGTTCTATATACAATCACCCAATACATACAGTTAATGTATTCTATCAACCGTCAAGTTTCATGACACATTTCATTGATTAGTTTCAGTTTGCCTAATCATCATGCATTGTTTACAACAATCACGACTATCCTCACCGATAGCCCAAAGCAGTTATTTCTAAACAGAAAATAAATGCACAAATGGATATTCAATTAACATTTCATTTCCTCATTTCTCACCATTAATTATCCCAATTAATCAAACAATGTAATTAGGTCAATTCCATAATTAACATTCAACCCTTAGGTCCATTCTCATCAATGACTTAACATTTATTCCATTTCCTCTATTCCAAACATGCATCTAGGTTTATTATGAACAAAACCCCAACTTTTGTAAAATTACACAAAAGCCCCAAACTTTCACAAAATTCCAAACCAACCCCAACATCTCAAAATACCAAAATTTAAAGACAAAATCCATAGAGAGGAGTAGGATATCCCTACCTCAAAGTTCGAGCCAAAAAGGAGATGAAGACTCGAAGACCAACGTGCTCCAAATCCAAACTTTTTCAGATTAAAACAAAGCTCTCAATGCCCTCTATCTTTTAACAAAAGGCCCTAGGCTAGAATCACACTAGAATCACACTCTAGGGAGATCAATTCTTAGAGAGAATATAAGTGTAGAGAGAGAGAGTCTCGGATCTAGGTTTTGGATCAAAAAGAAAGGAAAAAAGTGATGTTTAAAATCGCTACTGCCCGCTGATATAAAACAAACGCTCGCTCGAGCGAAGCATGGTCGCTCGAGCGACCAAGACACAGAAAACTCTCGCTCGAGCCAAGAAACTCTTGGCTCGAGCCAAAAACTCAAAAGTGCGCTCAAGCGAAGGAATGCTCGCTCGAGCCAACAACTCGAACCCTCAGGTCTGAAACCACAAGCACGTTCGAGCGACAGACCTCTCGCTCGAGCGAAGAACAAACCAAACGCTCGAGGCCAAGAAAATCTCGCTCTGAGCCAAGAAACGCAACTCTCAGGTCCAGAACCAGACGCGCATCGCTCGCTCGAGCGAAGCCACTCTGGCTCGACCCACCAGACAAACTCAACTCTCGCTCGAGCGACAAAATCCTCCTCGTCTCTGAGCGAAGGTCAAAAATCTGGGCAGCAACACTAGGCTTCTAAACTCGACCAACCTGTAACAAACCTGCCCAACACATCCTATAACTCAATATACAAAGTAGAGAGGATGCAAACAAAATAATAAACAACTACCAACATCCACGGACACATGTCCGGATCACTGCACAACAAGGGTAAACCCGGGATCGCTATAAAATACCTCTCCTCCCCATTCAGCATGCGAAGCTAACCCAAAATCCGATATTGGTATTCGCAACTCCAAGCCACCAGTTTCCATTAGCTAGGTCCTACATATTTTTACATGGATATCAAAATTGAATAATTGAACAGAAGAACGCAAATTTTATTTCTTTACCACTAATTACTTAATTATGATTTTTGTTTCATAATTATTGGTGTAATAATTATTTGACACAATGGTAGCATGACTTGGGAACTTGTTTCATAATTAAGAGTTTTTAAATTTTACCTGCAAGATGTAGATTTCCATCGCAACCGATGTCCCTCCACGTATAGAGACCTTTCCAATTACTTCACCAAGAGGTATTTCTGTGTCCACAATCACAAATTTAGGACAATTTGTATTGAAACAATGAGATTGACCTGCCTGTTTGGTAGACAAACATATACGAATATATTGTAAGAGCTACTAAGAAAATATAGTCAATCAAGTAATATGCAATAAAAAGCAATGATACTTACATTCGTATATATGAATAGTCGAGGACGTACATCACCAAATAGAGATGGATCCACCTGAGACAAACCAAAAACATAATAACAACAAATGCTTTTGTCTATGTGAAGCTAGTTTTTACTTGTGAAAATTGTTTCTAAAATAAGTAAGAAGTTAAATTTACAAGAAGCAAGAAGATTAACTTACCCTCAACCCGACTTGTAAGCTATCAGGCCCATTTTGAATCATCATTCGCCCTGCACTATATTGTTTACCCACGACATCTGGTTGGTGTACACTAAGCACCGCTGACGCTCCACTGTATTTGTTTGGACCATCTATTGTCTCAACTATGGCATACTGGGTAATAAAAGTCCAAAACATATGTGTTACTTTTATATTTTCCCTTACTGTGAGAATCTGAACATATCCATATTGTTGGGAGAAAACCAAAGGCCAATTCAAAATACCCGAATCTAGCACAAAATATCAGAAGTTATTTCTCCCTCTTTGTGTGAATCTATTAGGGAACAATTTGAATAGAGAACAATATATATATGTTTTAAAATGGTTGTTACAAGAAGCAAATGTGGTGATGATGATGATGATGATGATGATGATGATGATGATGATGATGATGATTTTGAAGTTCCACCTACAGCTATTCAAAAGCAAAAAAAAAAAAAAAAAAAAAAAAGGCAAAAGCAATTTTTACGTGGAATAATGGGTGCACAAGAGTTCTCTCTAGTTAGAATTAGAGGCAAACAATCAAGAACAACTACAAATAAGTTTTCTTGGCAACCAAAGAACTAGTTACAAAATTTAGGAAAGATCTCACAAAAAAAGGGTACTGTTCATGAGCCAAAAAACCAAATTCAGAATGCTCCAAATCTGATCTCCACTCTTCAAATTTCAGCTCAATCGGATGATCGAACTGTTTGATCAAAGCTGGACAGAGTTTATCAAAAACCAAACAAAAAACATTATCCGTTTGGTTTAATTTTATAATTGTAATTTGAGTGTAAAGTTATGTTTTGAATTTTGAGTTTTTGAATCATGATTTGAAAAAAAAAAATTTATTTAGTTATGAGTTTTAAAAATAGTTTTGAGATGATTTGTAATTTTTTTTTGATTGATTGATGTAAAAAATGTGAGAGAATGTGAGAGGTGAGATGAGAGAGAAAAAGTGATTGATTAATTGATTGATTAATAATAAAAGAAAAGAAAAGTGAGGAGTTTTGAAAGTAATTTTGAGTTGTATTTTAAAAATATGTTTGGTTAACAAGTTGCATTCAAATCATGATTTAAAAATAGAGTTAAGTTTTGAAAAGTAAACCAAACGCTACCACAATCTCTCCATGTGGGCTTGAGACTTACATGGGCTTTACCAAATATTTGGGCCATCTTCTACATACAAGGGAAACCCAACGCAACAAACATATATATCTATGCTCGTACTTTTTTTTGTTGATTTTTTCTCTCTCTTTTCATTCAAAAAAGGCATTGTGCCCTAACTATAAGATTTAATGTTTAGTGTTTGTGGTTGTGCAGAATCAAGCCATGTAAACAATCACATCTGCAAGTAAAATTATTATCAAAAGTTTGCCTAAAACTTTCAACAAGATGAGGCTAAACATATAGCTTCAAAATATGAGGACAAAAATCAATTTATAGGATCAAAAAATGTGGCTACAGTGTTTTATGTGTGTGTTCAGCTCATTCAAGAAGGTGATTCATACAAACAAATAAAACCAAATATAGAAAACAAGCAATAGTGCAAAACTAATATTGTCAAGCTATATAATCTTGATTGACTAGGATAACTTACATCAGCACCACTGGTGTCATCTGCAGGAGTCATTATTTTTTAAGCAAGTTTCTCTCTAATGAGATCTTCTTTAGTAGTTCTTCTAATTGGGACTGTTCCAACTGGGCAACCCCCGCCCTTTAGTCCTATATGTAGAGGTTTTCTAACATTTGAGGAAACTTGATCTCTTGATCTCTTAGGTAATGAAGTGGGCTTCATCTGCAATTCAACTCAATTCGAAAAAGGTAAAGGAGACTTGCACATAAATTGATCACATAATCGATTACAGAAAACTCACAAGAGTTGGATTCTACCGTTGGGTACGTGCATGTCTTGTTTTCTATGAGCCTCATACAATTATTAGTGTTGGGTGCGTGTATCAAATTTTGTAAGATCCATACTGTATTTTGGGTTAGGTTGTGAAATCAAGAGTTCACTAGTAATTCAATGTGTAGGGTTTTATTAATTGTACGGGACTAACATTTCTATGGTTTGCCTATAAATATGAATCTTCTCTACACTCTCCTCTCTGTTATTGATGCTTGTCCCCAAATTATATTTTATGTATTGGATTTGATCAATACAATTATTCCCTTCGCCAATAAAAAGAAGTTTGTAGAGGTGTGAGATTGAGAGGGTTTGTAAAGATGTAGGGGATATGAAAAAATTCCAGGGACAACAATAGTGAGTAAGTAAGCACATGTAGCTAATCTTAAGTAGGAAAATGGGTAGAGTTTCAAGACTTCGGTATTGGTGTCAGATTTTAAAGGTTTCTGGTATTATTGCTGTACTCGCTATGCTTCATAGTATATTTCTCTTTTGTATGCAAATCTTTGTGATTTTAATCTTTAGTGTGTACATATGGATGTGCAATAATCCCAGCACCTATTGTGCGAACTACAGTGTACTGTGATTTATTTTGTTCTTATAGAGTGTTGAATAAATAATTAAGTAGCCTTCAATTATGTGTTGGAGATAAGAGGATGTATGGAGACAAACCTGAAAATGAAAAGTATGGTTCTTCAGTAAAGGATGATCAAATGCAGGTTGCCTGTAGAAGTCCACACAATCATATATATCTCCATAATTATTCTGTAAATGTTACAATCTTTCTGTTAATTGTTATATACAATTGTTCAATTCATGAAAGGTTGTTCACAATTTTGTGCAAAAATAATAATACCATATTCTGTATTCTCAAGTTCAGAACGTCAAATTAGATGGTTGCAATTCAAGACATCCATGATATTAGGCCTTGAAAAAAAAAAATTTATTTAGTTATGAGTTTTAAAAATAGTTTTGAGATGATTTGTAATTTTTTTTTGATTGATTGATGTAAAAAATGTGAGAGAATGTGAGAGGTGAGATGAGAGAGAAAAAGTGATTGATTAATTGATTGATTAATAATAAAAGAAAAGAAAAGCAAGGAGTTTGAAAGTAATTTTGAGTTGTATTTTAAAAATATGTTTGGTTAACAAGTTGCATTTAAATCATGATTTAAAAACAGAGTTGAGTTTTGAAAAGTAAACCAAACGCTACCATAATCTCTCCATGTGGGCTTGAGACTTACATGGGCTTTACCAAATATTTGGGTCATCCTCTACATACAAGGGAAACCCAACCCAACAAACATATATATATA